CTTTGTTTGCTGACAACAGAGTCAGAGTGAGCAGGGCGGCGTGCAGTATTTCTTTCTTCCGAGCCTGACCAGACTTGCTAAGAACGGATTATTATTTGAATTCCAGCGTAAAAGTTAGAACTTTTTGTTGCATGTCAATGACTGAACTAGGCACATCAGTAGCCTCCATAGCATGCCAAAAACTGGGGGGGGGGGTCTTCAGGGTCTTTGGGAGCTTTTATGTGCTATTTTCTGATTGCATATAGACAACATAGCCGGCCTGGTTGAATTACCCCCGTTAGAACTGGGCTAATCAGAAAACAGCCGAAGACCACCAAAACCCCCAGTTCTATAAGCCTGCTACGGAGGCTAGCACATCAGCGAGTTGGTTAGGTGTGCTTGCGGGTCAAAAGTGACGCCGACTTTCGAACGGCCTGATTTTAACAAACCCATGACTCAGGGGGATCGAATGTCCTTTCAGACTTTCAGGGTAAGGGGTGTAACTGTACAAATTCTCTTCGGGCTCATCAATTACGGACCTGCGTGCTACCTGCCTGGCAACTAGCAGGTCAGGTGGAACAGGCTAGGTGATCGCAAGGTGAAAGAAAAAAAACGGAACGACTTGTCATGGAGAGAACTTTATTGACACAACAAAAGTACAGCGACTTTAGTAAGGTCTAAGACATGTAGATATACAGACAAATATACATGGGTACAACGAAAATATCCTACGTATAAAACAATAGATGGGTCAACTAATACTACTTGTTCTCTACTTTGAACTGTGGCGTCGGTGTATTGTGTATACGGTGGCTCAACTGTTAGAGCGTTGGACTAAGAACCAATAGGTCCTGGGTTTGATACTCACCATGCCCCGATGTTGTGCCCTTAGGAAAGGCACTTTACACGACTTCCCTACCTGTACGGTGGAGAGACGCTCAACGAGCCTCTTCGGCTAATTTGTCAAAATGAGTGCCAAAAAAAACACTACAGATTAGCCAATGTGCCAACATCTGTACATTTGTCACAAAGAGCCGAAAAAAAATTAATTACTTTGAACTGCCGTGTTTTAATTAAGGTACACTTGGTTTCAGGTTTTATTCACTGCGTAACTTAAGATATTTAAGTCATCCCATGATCGTCGTGTCTCTAATTAGGCCCATTCAAGTGAAGAGAACAAGGCTTAAATGTCTCAAATAGAAAATAGGACTGTTATCATGTCATTATCCCGGTACCTCTTACCACCATACCATCCGTGAAGTGAGATAAGGCCACAGAGATGTATACACATCTATAAGGGCAGGTGTATACAGGAATAAAGACCTGCTGGTTGTGATGTCATGTTTTGTTGCCTCAGTTCTTGTTTAACAAGGTTTATGATCTCAATTATAGTTGAAAATGTAGGAATCTTGATTTTTTTTTGACCGCCTTGTTTTCTTTGCGCCCTATCGCATTAGATTTGCAATCTGAGGAGGATTTCATCCATAAAATTTACTTGCTGTGGCCTAATTACCACAAGGAATGGAAGGGGGCAACACTGGGGCCTTTCCTTGTGTTATATAGAATTTTATGAATGTTCCATTGTGCGCATTTTCCCCTCAGGTGTCGCAAACGGCTCTACTCTTCCCGTCCCTAATAACAGGTCTATGTGCTCCAGTTATCGCGCATATTCATCGCGTTGTTTGCTCCTGTGTGATTGGCCATATGGTCGCTATAATCACAGAAGTAAACGAGGTACTTGATGACACAAACCCTCCTGAAGTGTTGTATTACACGGATTACTGTGCTCACTGGACCTGTAGCGTGGTGACTCTTTTAGGATAGGTTGTGAGCTATGGATGTAATCTCCAAGCAGATCCTAGGGTGGCAAAAGATAGTATCAAATTGGCCAGGCAGTATCCATTGGCCAGAAAGGGTCCATTACGCCACCCAAGGGAGTGATTAGGTTTATGATGCATTGATGCTTGCGACTTTCTTCAGATCCTTGGGAGGAGTACTGGACCCTCTGTGCTCACCAGACCGGTCATTTGGTGACTCTTTTGGGATAGCTTTGCTCTCCAAGCAGAGGTTTGCGTTTTTCAAGCTTTTTTTATCGGGCACTGGTATCTTTTTTTTTCGCCAACCCCAAAATGATACCAGTGCAGAGAAGAACTTAAGCCCAATAAAAACTAAACTAAAACACGCCAAAAATAAAGCCAAAACCCAAACCTCTGCTTGGAGAGTAGGATAGCTTGTGAGATATGGGTCTACATGTCAAATCTGTAGCTTGATTTGTTTGATTTCTTTGTTCGTTTGTTTAGTTTGTTGTATTACACGGATAACTGTGCCCACTGGACCTACAATTTTGGTGACTCTTTAAGGATAGTTTGTGAGATATGTCAAATCTGTAGCTTGGTTAGTTTGTTTGTTTTGTTTGTTTGTTTGTTTGTTTGTTTGTTTGTTTGTTTGTTTAGTTTGTTGTATTACACTTGACCATGGCCAGTAATTGTGGATCTTTTTAGATAGCAGCATGTATACCAGCCTTTATACCTAACTTGAACTTAGTATAAGTTAGAAATGTTCGCTGCTGGAAAAAAAGGTGCATGCACGGGAGGTTTTCAGAGCTGCACTGTGGACATATCATATGTCATCAAGTGGATGCTCCAGGCGAGAACACATGTCCCAGCTGGAAGTGTCAGGTTATTCTTACACGAAGAAAAACTGAGAGGAAGAGAGCGCACAAGTGTCTGAAGTACCTGGTCACTCTTCGGCTGACATGCGCCGCTGTTAGTATAGGAAGACACTTGTGCAGGTTGAAGAGAAGAGTTCAGTATGCTAGCGTTAATCTCCAAGCAGATCCCTTTCGGTGGCAAGACAGTATATTCATTACCCAGAGAAGGAAGCGACAGAAAACGGCCATATATAAAAAGCTTACGATCATTCCCCCACAACCTCTGCCTGGAGAGTATGCTAGCGTTGCTTGCTGTCCATGGTATAACAGACTCCAAATAGTCAATTGTATAACCTCATACACCTGATGGTATAAATGGAATTAAACTGGAAATGGTATCTGCGGAAGTCTCACAAGTGACACAACACAGAAAGACAAAAATGACCTTAATTATTTAAAGAGCTACCAGCTCGCCAGAGTATATACACAGTGTATACGAAAACTCGGCAAATACAGTAATAAGAACTCGACATATACTAGTAGCTGACAGAAAGAAAAGAAACTATGCGAAATTGAAAAAAAAAGTAAGCTCGACAAAGTCTTGGCAATGGAGGCTACCCAGAGTCGGACTTCTGCGTTGAGAAAAGTATATACATCACATAGTTACACAGTACAGATAACGATCAAGGCTACGTCAGCGTGAGAAAGACCACAGACAACACAACACTCTAGGGTTCACTGATTCCCATTGTCTCGTAACGCTGACGTAAATGGCCGTTACTATAGCAACGGAAGGTACGGCCACATTCCGCAGAAAAGAGGCATTGTCCGATCTTCTTTCCCCTATAACCTATCAGTGCATTGAACTGTCATCGTGACAAAAGTTGAGCAGGCATGAAAATTGATAATTTCAGGTTCAGCTTAGCCACAGAACTTTAGTCAAAGATCTTATCCTATCATGAAAGTTTATCTGTGTTGGTAGTTACATGCTTAAAGTTAAAACTTTGTGTTGGACCAAAAGTTTTAACTTTAAACAGTCAAAGATCTTATCATGAAAGTTTATCTGTGTTGGTAGTAATCATAGTAAAATGATCTTCTATTGACGTTTCAAAATTAAGATGAAAAAGGAGTTCCAAGGACACCATAATTATCTTCCTATCTGTGAAAGTCATCTTGATAATGTCCTTAGAAGTCGAGGCACGTCCATTCAGCCGGCAGCGCAATTATCTGACCCTAGGTCCCGGGTTCCAGTCGCCGGGCGGCACGGTATGACATACCTGTGCGGTGAGTGTGCACGTCTCGCTTCAGGCGGTCACGGCTCGCGTCTCTAGCCTAGCCTGGTATCCAGTCTGGTCGTGATTGGGGCATAGTAGTTGGGGTGTTCAGGCAGGCTGTGCTTTCGGGGGCTCAAATAGCTTCCCCCTGCCCAGTGCAACCGGCCGTCCCGGTAGGAGTGTTACGCTAATAACAGGTGATAAATTTCTAGGGGTTTTTTTCTGGGAACAGGCCAAAATCAATGCGCGCGCGGACGTCATCCATAAAAATTACTTGGTATGGCCTAATGATTGACAAGCAAGCTAAAGAGTTGACTCCGCCCTCCCAGTACACCTGGTAATCTGTTGGTGAGAAGTGATGCAGAGTCTGACTCTGAGTCTTTGGATGGTTAGTTTTGAAAGGACACGCGAAACAAACTACAACATTGCAAATACCTGCACTGCCTTTAGGAGCTGATGACCTCGAACGACCCTAGGTAACGTGTGATGCCTGCTTCCCCAAGCAGATGTTAGGAGGACAGAACAGAACTTTTCAGCACTTGTCTCATTGCCTCGCAAGCAAATGATACCATAACGTGCCTCATTGCATTGCTCATATCTAAAATGAGCATCAAATTGAGTATGAAAATGGGCGCCTCCATGCGAGACTAAATGGTCCTACAGCAAACTGTTTCATGCATTTTGTGACATGAAACAGTAGATTTACTAACAAAAAGTAGCCACAATTCTTATCCCAGATATATATCTTGCTTCTATTGGAACCGTACAGTTTCAAAATGACACACAAGTTGCCATTATTATCCTTATTTTCCCTCGTACATTTCCCATGATTTTTACGTATGTATTTCTGTTTTGTATAGATTCCTTATTGACTCAACAGAAAGTACAGGAATTTTTGTGTGCTCTTCTGCAACTAAAGATCTAACAAAGCTAAATACATGTATGAATAAAGTCATCTTACGTACAGAATATATATGTATGCGGCAAACTAAGTACAGAATACATGTCAGTGGCAACAATAAAGATTTAACTATTGTCTAACATGTAGTCTCTAAGATGTAAACCTTCCTTAATGTATTTCCCTATTTGACACCCAGGTGATGGAGGTAGAGATGAAGGAGAAGGGCCGCCCTGCGGAGCCTGAGGAGCCTGAGAGGGAACAGTGGAGCGCCAAGATGGACTTCATGTTGTCTATGCTGGGGTACTGTGTGGGGCTGGGCAACGTCTGGAGGTTCCCCTACCTCTGCTACAAGAACGGCGGAGGTCAGTCAAGATCTACATGTACTCTATCTTAGGTTTTGTAAACGTGGTTTGGCAGTGCCTATAAGATATGTGGTGTTGAAAGCATGCTGAAAGCATCCCCTGACGTTACTTAGCTTCAGTGTACAATGTGAGAAGTAAAGACAGCCATGACCGTCACTGGGGCATTTTGCCTTCCATTGAGGTCTAAAAGAGCAGCGAGTAGTTTTGTGTGTGTGGAGGCTAGTATTGAGTTAAAGCTTTAGCAGCATGCCTACCGTTTCAATGTACATACCCTTATGAGATCCAGCCAGACTATACACTCAGTTCACAAAACAACAGAGTATGTTTATGGCGGTCGTAGCACTACAAGAAATCCTCCACGCCTGGGGCATTGCCAATATTATCTTCATGACACAAAAAAATTGACAAATTTGCACAACGAGTTTACCTTATATCCTATGCCTCCCCCACCCAGGAGCCTTCCTGATTCCGTACCTGATCATGTTGACGTTCGCCGGCCTGCCGCTGTTCTTCATGGAGCTGGCCCTGGGGCAGTACGCCAGTCTGGGCCCCGTCACCATCTGGAGGTGCCTGCCTCTCTTCAAGGGTAAGTCCCTCTTATAACATGGCATGCTGTAGCAATGACTCGTGATGAGAGAGAGGGGGGAGGAAGAGAGAGAAAGGGGAGAAAGAGGGAGAGAGAGGGAGAGAGAGGAGGAAGAGAGAGGGAGGGAGAGAAGGAAGAGAGAGAAAGGGGAAAGAGAGGAGAGAGAGAGGAGGG